TCTTAGATTGTTTCGTTCAGCTCATTGGACCACTATTAACTGAGTCTAACAGAAAGAAGAGGTAGCAGGATAAGCAACATGAAAGCTATAAAACACAGGATTAGTCTGTATGTAAAAACCATACAAGCTACAGAACAGGATTATCCCGTACATAAAGAACATGCAAGCTGCTCACAACAGTACTATTCTCAAGATAGTAAAAGATGGCATGTTGGGATGAACGCTAGGGTGGGTGAGTACAGGACCCCAGCCTCCTTACTGCGTGTTCTGCTCCATACTCACACAGAGGACCTGTTATTCTGGCATACCCAGTCTGGAAACCACATGCAGAACCCGGAACCCTCCAGACACAAGGCAGCGTAAGCTATGCAAACTGAACAGATGATACAATGGCCTATTGGGTTTGTTCACTTTGCAAGCCAAGAGCAGACAATTCAGCTGAAGTAGACGTTGCTGGTGAACTAATCACAAGAGAACAGGCCATAGGCCTTCACCTGACCTGGATGGGACCTCAGACCCGTTATGAAGGTGGTCTAGTTGTGTATTACCTATTTATTACTCAGGTGAGGCAAAATTCCAGAAATAAACTACCAAGAGAAGAGAGGCTCATAGTTCGTTGATGAAAGCCTGGTGAGATTCCCTAGGCACTCTCACGGATGCGCATGTTAGGGACTAACAAATACATATGGGAACAGGAAGCCAGAAAGAGGTTGAATTCCACCACCTCTTCTGAGGCCCTGCCTCCAATGACCCATGACATTCCACCGCTCAAAGGGTCCACAGAACCTCTACGTCTCAAACCTAGGAGCAACCCCCAACCATTTGGGAGAACACATTTGAACCATACGCAAACCACACCAGGCACTTTTCATGTTACCTGTTTTTCCCAAAACTATTCTCTTCAATATTAGATTGAACAATGCTCTCTGCTATAAAACACAAAACTTACAGCATATAGCCACTTCCAGCCATGCCAGGATTACACATGCTACCAAGGCTCAAGAAAGTCTCTGGAAATAAAATGAAGACTCAAAACAACAGTCTTAATTACTGATTTTTATCTTCTAGATGAAAAATGGCGGAGCCTCGGGTCCTGCAGTGCTAAGTCCCTGCATCTGTTCCTCATTCATCAAATGCTTATTGACACCGTCTTATGCTTAGAAGGGAAATCTAAATTCATCTCAGCAGCTGCGCTCCTGGAATGGTGCCGACATAACTCTGAGAATTGGGAGCTGAAGAGGAAAAGGTAGATGCAAATTTCAGAATCAAAACACCGTGGACTGTTATCCCATATTCTCTGCAGTCAAGGTTTCTTTGTTGCTTTTTGAATTCTTAAACTTAAATAGAAGGGTAATCTGGGGAGAGGAAAGGTTTGGAGATAGGGAAAAAAGGAAATGAGGAAAGAATGTGTAAAAGCACAGCTTAATGCAATGGATAAGTAAAAATTGCCAACGAAGAGTCTATTGCTTTGTATGGCAGTTTGTACCGGTCAGTCTTTATCGACACAACCTAGAGTCACCTGGGGGGGGGGACCCCAAATGAGGAATGCCTTGATAAGACTGGCCTGTGGCCATATCTGAAAGAATTTGTCTTGACTGATGTTAGGGGGCCCAGTCCACTATGGGCACTAGACAGGTGGGGCACGGGTGGCATAATGGTAGAATTCTCACCTGCTTAAGCAGACAGGCATGGCTGGCGTAAGAAGAATAAAAGAGAGTTCAGAGAACCATCCAGCAAGCGGCCGTGGTAGTGTGAATGAAAATGCCCACCACGGGCTCTCGTATTTGAATGCTTGGGCCCTAGTTGATGGAACTGCTTTGGAAGGATTAGGAGGTGTGTGATGTGGGAGAATGCTCTTGTACACTGTAAAGATGTGTCACTCATATTGCTTTAATAAAACACTGGCAGGTCAATAGACGGGCAGGCAGTGTAGGCGGGGCTAACGAGCTGGAGAATTCTGGGAAGAGGAAAGGTAGAGATGGAGTTGCCAGTCAGACACAGAGGAGGTGAAAATGCTTTACTGAGAAAAAGTGCCAAGCCACATGACTAAAGACAGATAAGAATTATGGGTCAATTTAAGCTATCAGAGTTTGTTAGTCATAAGCCAGAGCAGCAAACCAAACAGTTTATATGTAATATAAGCAAACAGTTTATATGTAATATAAGCAAACAGTTTATATGTAATATAAGCAAACAGTTTATATGTAATATAAGCAAACAGTTTATATGTAATATAAGCAAACAGTTTATATGTAATATAAGCAAACAGTTTATATGATGTAATATAAGCATCTATGCGTCTATCTGGGACTAAATGGCTGCGGGACCAGGCAGGACAGAAACCTCCATCTACAGGGGTGACTTTTTGGAGGAGGTGTGTCACTGGGGTGGGCTTTGAGTATAATTAGTCCCAATTAGTTCTCAATCTTCCTCCCTCTCTCCCCTCCTTCCTCCTCCCTCCTCTCTGCCTCTGACCTGTGGATTCCATGCTGGCACCCAGCTGCTGCTCCAGCACCACATCTGCCTGCTGCCAGGCCCCCCACCATGACGATAATGGACTAACCCACCGAAACTGTAAAACCCCAGTTAGATGCTTCCTTATAAAAGTCACTGCGGCTACGGTGGGTCCTCACAGCAATAGAAGTTATTAAAAACAACCTTACCCATGGTTTCTGCCTCTGGAGTTCCCGCTCTGACATCCCTCAGTGAAGGACTGTGACATGATATAAGCCAAATAAACCCTTTCCTCTCCAAGCTGCTTTTGATTAGGGCGTCTTATCATACAACGGAAAACTTGATGTAGAGATTTAACTATTTAAAAAGCCGAAAACCCAGCCTTCCTCCCCGCTTTATTGTAATAGAAATGAGCTCTCCACTGTGCCTCTTCAGGGTCCCACGAGACTGCTCGGTTGGCAGTGCTAGTAAGATCAACACTCGGGGGCTTCTGGTCCATCCCAGGTCTCTTCTGTCCACACCTCAGGAAGAGGGTGTGAGGGCGGGGATGCTCTGAGTATGTGGCCTGTGGCTGCTCTGGCACTCCAGTGCTCGTAACGAGATGAAAATGAACCCATGTGGACAGCTCAGGCTGAGCCACTTTCGGGATGAAGAGTGAAAGCACCTCCTCCTGGTCAGCAGTGGCCATGAGTTTTCGTGCCAAACAGGAATCTCTAATGCCAACTTTCTTAAGTCTACTATGCTTTAAATTTCCTAAATTTACACTCAATAGAATCGTTTTGCTAGTGTCTCACATGAAACTCAACAGACGTCCTCAGTCCTGCTTCCTCTTTCTGGCCCCTCTCTTGACTGGCAGCTGGAGACCACAAGATTAGTTCCAGGCCACAACATGAGGGTAGAAATGGCATGTCTCTCCCAGGCCATGCCTATTTTTCCCCTCCAATGGTGACTTTAGAAGCCATGTTCTGAGTGTGGTGGTGATAAACACTGGTCACTGCCTCCCACATGGAGAAGAGGCCAGGGGTCAGCACCTTGTGACACAAACAGGGACTTTTATTAGGCACAGTCACAGAGGGTGGATGACTGGGTGTGACGTCTCATTATGGGGACATCTCCCCAGTGATGGGGGATGTCCTTCTGTATGCTGTAACTACACGGTTTTCTTATTGGATAAAGAACAAAGGCGTTGCGGCCAAAGGACAGGCAGAATTTAGCTAGACAGGAGTTCTGAAGAGACAGGGAGAAGAAAGAGTCAGAGATGCCATGCAGCGGCCGGGGAGTCAAGAGACATGGGCATCACCAGTAAGCCAAGGCTACGTGGCGATAAACAGATTAATAGAAATGGGTTAACAATGAAGAGAGAGCTAGTCAGTAAGAAGCCTAAGTCATTGGTCCAACAGTTATAAACATATATTAAGTCCCTAAGTTATTTCATAGCAGCTGCAGGGACCTGGTGGGTAAAGAGAAGCCAGTCCAGAGGGAATGATATAAATGGAGAAATGATATATTATGGTGGAGAGAGGGAGGGTGGTGACTGGATATGGCTTCTCATTATGGGGACACCTCCCTACATATTACGATGGAGGGGGCTGGTCTTTCTCTTCTCTTGTGGGTCATGCGTGTTCTACTTACAAGAGATTTTTGCTTACTGGTTTTGTTTTTGAGATAGGGTCTTCTTCTGTAGTCCAGTCAGGCCTGGAATTTCAGATCTCCTGCCGCGGTTTCCTTCCCTATTATGCAACACCTGCCCAAAGGGGCTTTACTGTTATTTTGTTTTTGGTTTGTTTTCAGTTTTTTCTCCTGAGATGTCCCAGTCGAAAGTTCACAGGATCAGAATTCCTGGGAGTGTTTTTAGAGGTTGGGATAACACTTTTGAAAACCATTGTCCCGTTTTTATAAATCAAGTGTTATGACTGACACCCAATTGCTTCAAGGTTTTTTTCAAATCTCAAGTAAAATCATAGATATTTTGGGGGTACAACATGAGGTTTTAATACATGTATACAATGTGCAGTATTCAAATCAGGAAGCTGACACGCTCAATATCTCAAACATTTATCATCCTAGTGGTAGCAGCATTTAACACACTTGAGATTTTTTTAAATTAAAAGTGGTAAACTGAGTCATTCACATCACTGGGTACAAGGTGTCCTTTCATTTTTAATTTACTCTTAAATCATTGAGTAATTTAATAACCATAAAGATTGCTCACACTCTTCATCATGAAAATATTCAGGCATATCTCTCTCTGTCTCTGTCTCTCTCTCACACACACACAGAGTGATAAAAATGAAATAAAATTTAAGTAATTAAAACGTGGGAGGGGACAGCAAAATGGCTAAGTGACTAAAGAAGCTTGCCACCCAAGCCTGAGGACCTGAATTTGATCCCACTCATGTAGAGATGAGAGAAACAACTCCACAAAGTTGTCCTCTGGCCTTCATATGCATGGTGGCATGTGCAGCCACATATCCAGATCATGTATACATGCAATAATAGTAAATAAATGTAAAAGCTTTAATAAAAAAATACTTCTGCAGCCAGGATATTTTCCATTTTATTTAATCTTATAATGAAAAACTTAAAAGGCATTAAATAGCAAGCAAAATAAGTATACTTTACTGACAATTCAGAAGGTACAGTATTTTCAGACATTTTTCAAATTCTTTTACAAAGAAAAATAAATTACAATAAATGACACAAGTCTAATGAAACTTGACTTTCAATAAAGCTAACAAAATACTTTTTGAAAAACAAAACTCTTTATCCTGAATTTTTCACATCATGAATATATATTTTCCTATGTGATCACCATTCTGGTTCAATCTGTGGTAGAAAAGTTGAAATGGATTCAGATATGAGTCCCTTTGGGGTAGCATGCATGGACACACATAGAAAGTAGCCAATTCCAACAGGAAATCTGAACACTTGGGTGATTTGGCCTCTCACTTGCTAGGCAATAAATTCTAGACCTAGCCATATTTCTCTTTATACCCTAGGTCAAAAGCAATCAGATCCAGGAAGTCGTGTGTGGTCAGGTAACATGCAGCCACTTAACGATAGGACCCTTCATCCTCCTTAGACAAACTTCTCACATTTTCTTAATTAAGGGAAGATAACTGAGTCAAGCTGATCAAAATATTTCCAATATTTTATAATTTATACTATTGATGCTTTATATTTCAATAAATTATTTTATTGCTCAACAGTTAACATCTGCTGAACCACTCATGTTATATAAACAACTAAATCTCCATTGGCTTGCTCTGTATCTTTGCCATCTTGACTGGAGAAAAAGGAGTTGCACACAAGACCTTCTGTATATTGCCAGTAACGAACGCACTGGCACCTGTGGGGACGGAGTGAGGCGGGCGAGCTGTGAAGGCTCTGTTAGAATCGGCACCCATATGCACTTAGGCTGACATTTCTACAACTATGAATACATGAAAATCACACCGTTAGGAAGTTCACAAGTGTGCTGCCATGAATGGCTTAGAAACACTTTAAGGACACCATCTAACAAGACTCGGAAGTGGCTTTGGCGACAAGTCAGAGAGGACACAACGGGGAAGCAGAGCAGGGCATTGCCAACACCGGCTTGTTGGTTTAAGTGGCGCTAACCTGAAAACTTCCCAGCCACCCCTTCATAACTGAAGAGTCTGGGCCGGCCACGCAGAGGGAAAGAGCCTGTGGTAAAAGCCATGTGGGAACGGTGTTTTGACAAGCAGCCTCAGTCGCTGATGAACACTCTTTGGAGTGTCAGGGAACAGAGACAAATGGCGAATGGCTGGGAGTCTAGCCCATGGGGGGGTGAACGATGTCTTTCCTCTCACGGGTTCAGTGGAAATGGCACCCGCACAACTGACTAGCTTCCAGGGAAAGTTCCCGCCGTGACGGGAAGTAAGTGCTGGGGTCATTTTGGCCACGTATGATGGACGGATCAAGAGAACAAACACGAGTTCAGCATGTGAACCCGATTCTCCTTCCCCCAGGCCCGCAAGCAACGTTAGTACCTGCTGGAATCAAAATATCTTCTCCAGAAATCTTTAGAAACTACAATCCTGTAGAACTAAATGCTATAGAAAAATGATCAAATGATAAACATATCTTCGGGTACCCTTATACAAGAGTGCATGCCTTTTACACTTGCATCTAGGCAGGGTTTCACTCTAAAGCTTAAACTCCCCTCTTCTGGCAGCCTGTGTTCCCTTCTGTATTGTCACTTCAGCAGGCTTACTATGGAGGACATCCTGGCTGAGAAGAATCTCACAGTGTATGTGCACAACTTAAAAAGTACTGCAGTGACCCACTGTTTAAAAGCTCACTGTACCTGATGAACCCCACAAGTAACAGGTGAAGACACGAAACTAGAACTGAGCATGCAGAGAAGAGTATGCCATGAGGACAGCTGCCAAGAGCCTCACGCTGCTCCTCTTCGGTGAGTTTCAACTCATTGTACGCCGCTGCACATTTTAAATAGCTAATATATGTCCCACAGTCAAAGTCCTATGAAATTACTTTCTGCACAATCTCATCCACTTTCTCTGCACAAGACTAAAGACTTGAAGTAACAATTCAACATAAGATATCATAAACAAGTATTAGAAATATCTAACATAAATGTTTCCAAAGCTTTGGTTCTCATGAATTCATACCAAAATAAAGCTTCTGATACATTTATGAGCTCACACTTGAAGACAGAGTGATGATGTAAGCAAAGCTGAACCTGGACAAGTTAACATTTACACAGAAGAATAGACAATGCCACAGACAGCTTGGTGACACCTTACAGAGTAACACACTGGAGAACCACGGGCTGAGAAGTCCAGAAAACGACCGGCACTCACTCCTTTAAACTCCGTAATCCCCACCTTCACCACCACACGAGCTTGATTGGATTGCCGGGGGTCGCTGTGTTTGGAGATTGTGAAGGAGGCTTTCCAGGACGATGCCTCGGGTGCCTCAGCATTTACCAGACAGGTTCTTACTGTTTCAAGCTTCCTAGGCATGCGTTTTAGGGTTCCTTTACTCTGCCCATTCAAATCAATGGGAGATTGCAGTGAGGACACTATGAGGCTGGGAAGTTCCAAAATCCTGTATTTTGTCATTTATCAATGATTTCTGAAAGGAATCCCAGGAGGGATCCCAGGAGACAACGGGAGCGTGTGACCAGAATACTGCACAGCTAGTCAGCTGTCCCCTGCTGTTTAAGGAGATCTCACCTCCTGTGACCAGCATACCCCACAGCCAGTCTCCCCTGTTTATGTTAGCTGCTTTTCCTGTGTGAGGTCTATAAAGCCACAAGACAGGATTTTTCTGTCACATATATTTAAAGATCAGGCACACACTCTCAAAAGATGAAAATATAATTAAATAAACTCTTTACTAAAATTAAGCTGCAAGTGGCTTTTCATTCTTCTTGACTGTGACATGAAAAATAATAATTAAAAAAAATCTCAGCATGGAGTCAAATAGCAGGTTCTCTTGACTCGGGTAAGAGCTCTTGACAAAAATCACCTGACATTTCTGGGACTCCATTTCCTACAATGGTAACTGTTACGTCTAGTTTATGACAGCTTGACACAATCTAGAGCAATTTTGGAAGAGAGACTCAATTAAGAAAATGTCTCTGTAAGACTAACCTGTAGGCAAGTCTGTGGGGGCATCTTCCAGATTGATGATCATTTTGGGAGGGCCCTGCCCATTGTGGGGGGTGCCATCTCTGGGCTGGCAGTCCTGGGTTCTCTAAGAAAGCAGGCTGAGCAAGCCTTGAGGAGCAATCCGGTAAGCAGCGCCCTCCACAGCTTCTGCCTCAGCTCCTCACCCAGGTCCCTGCCTTGACTTCCTTTGACGATGGGCTGTGAGTGGAACTGTAAACTGAAGTAACTCTTTGTTCCATAAGCTGCTTTTGGTCATGGTGCTGTATCACAGCAGTAGAAACCCTAACTAAGACAGTAACGAAGGGAGCAGAATTCCAGAACCTTCAATGGCCTTTTCGCCTACAACCAAAGCAGGTCAGAACATTGCTCAGCACTCCCCAGTGTCTATGCAGCTCTACTGCCCGTAGAGCCTAACCATGAAGTGACTCTGGCTCTGAGAACTTTCTGATGTTTACATGACGGTCAGGGGGAATCATCTACCCTTCCAGGGGCGTTGGAAGCATTACCCATGGAATAAAAATGCAATCTATACATTTTCACACACGTATACAGGGGCTTACTTTGCTATTGTGGGCTGCTACAGAAAGATTCTGTTAACTATGTCCCTATTTAATTTCCACGATGTTTAGTTCCTTAATCTTCTCAATAGTAGTAAGAAAGAGAATTCTTATTCAAAATGTTTCTTACAGAAACAAAGAATAATAGGGTATGCTTATTAAGTTTTGGATTTTAATTTTTTTTAATCTTCAAAGCTAATTTAAAATTTTTCATTGTCATTAGATAAAAGCAAGAATCTGCCATAGTTTACCACAGCCACAAACGATGACAAGTTCACAGTCCAATCACACTATTCTGCCAACGCACACAAGAGTTTGGCACTGTGTTGAGGTGTGCAGGGATACACTGCACTGCTTCTTAACTCCTGTTAGAACTGGGACAACAGAAGACTCACAGCAACTCCACTATTGCAAACCAGATGCTACACATGTAGAGTTCCCATTCAGAGAGAGGCCCTGTGGGGCACCAGCTACAGCTACTGTAGTTGGATACAGAATCTCTTCAACAGTGACATACGTGCCCAACAAGAAGCCGACGACTCCAGTGAAAGCTATGGAGATGTTTTTCAGGACCATCCATATGTTGTAGTGTTCCTTAGAGAATGTAAGGATTTCCACGATGGGGGGCAGGATCAGGGCCAGCGTGCTGCTACTCACAGCCCCAACGAAGGAGATCACGATGTCTAGGCGAGGAATGAGAACTGCTCCAGCACCTAGTAGAAAACGGCTTCTGTTGACTAGTTTGCTACACACGCAGGGACTAAATGTAGACCTCTTTGACACAATGAAAGTAATTAGCAGAATCCACTGCTCGTGGGGAAAGCGACGTAATTTATTCTGAGCTAAGGAGGAACAAACCAGAGAAACACTTTCTGGATTCCTACAGCATTTCTCATGGAAACGTCTACTCTCTTTTGCTATGAGATTGGAGCTTCTATTTCCGGGCACCGAGTTCCTCTGCTGGCCACACAGCAGAGTCTAGGACACACAAACAGAGTGGTGTGCCATGAATAACCAGGAGCAAAGAGAGCACCAGTTCCTACGGCAGAGTTCTGCTCAGTCACTCTTCCAGACAACACACCAGAGGACATCATCACCAAGACAACAAGGCTGCACCCACTGAGCAAGAGGAGTCAGTGAAGGGTGTGAAAGTGTGCAGAATGTGCTCTGTGACACGGCAAGCTTCAATCCCAGAAACTGGGTTCCCAAGTCAGGAAGATCGTAAATTCAAGGCCAGCCTGGGCTACACGGCAAGGCCCTGTCTCAAACACCCAAGATCTGGGGATTAACTTGGGGGTATAATGCATGTCTGGCATATGCGAGGCCCTGGGTGTATGTCTAGGACCAAAATTTAAAATGGGATGAGATCTGAGTGTGTGTATCGCCCTAAGATACGGTCTTTGAAGTAGAGAAACACAGAGGTCCCTTTAACTAAGTGAGCAATGCTGGCACTCTAATGTGGTACCCAGCTAAGCCCTGAGTGGTGGCACAAACCTGCCATCTTGGAATTTGGGGACCGGAGGCTGGAAGACTAAGTTTGCAGCTGCCCTGACCTACACATATACAAACATAGCCCTGTCTTAAAAAATAACATTTCTCAAAATACGTAATTTAAGCAGTTCTCATTTTAACACATGCACACACAAGTCAGCTTTTATGATAGACATGAGCTGATACTTACAAGTGATACTAACCAAGAAGGACCGTATCCCAAATTCACAGATGCGCTTCCATTTGGCATGAAGTCTGCCAGTGACTCCAGGGATAATGATCTCTGCTGGAACATAGAACTGAATTGAATAGGTCACGAAAATGCCAAAGGAATACAGAATTTTCACTGACTGATACAACCTGTTGGAAAAAAAGAAATTCAGCATTTAGTTTTTCTCAATGTGAACCTGATTTTCCTCTTTTTTTTTATCATTTAGAGGGTAAACAAGCAATACAGAATACAAGCCAGTTTAGAGACCTCCTAATCAAAGGTGTAAAAGCCAGCCAAGACAGATAAGGCGGGGTACAACTGTAATGCCAGCACTCAGGAGGCCACACAGGAAGACAGCGGTGAGTTCCCATCAGGAGTTGCCATCAGTCTGGGCTACATGATAGATAATCCCGTAATAATTTCCAGACCCAACCAGTGGCTACAGACTAGGAACCCTGTCTCAGGGAAGAAGACAACAAAGCTGACCTCCACTAAGGGCATTTCTAACCCTCATACAGACAACTCGCCTGACTGGCCTGGTGAGGCTGAGCACGGACTTGGGGATATGGTGCTTCAGGAGACTGTGTTTAGGGCCAAGGAAATGCCCCATGCTTACACTCAGCCCCATGAAGAGATCTGCGAAGCTTTTCACAGCAATATTTTTTCAACTTTCTTTTAAAAACTTTAATATTTTTATAATTTCTTTGAAATATTGAGTCACAGCCCCAGTGATCTATATGTAGAAGAAAAATGCCGTATTAGGCCCTAAATTTGAGCTCTCCTTGCTTGACATTTTTTGTTAGGCAAAGGGCATAAGGAGTGACCTCTGAATTATTTCAACCAGCAGAGTTCTCTCTGCTGTACCTGCTGCCTGTGTTAAAATCACAGCGATGAGGGAACAGATTTTTTGCTGCTTCTTTTGTGATGCAAACTTATCCCTCTGAGGTCAGGGCTTCAAAAACGCACATCGGTTTTCAGCTTCATATCCATCTTTAGAATTCTCTAGTTACTCATTTTATGTGATGCACAGAGTCACACATACTAACAGGATCCAGTGTAGTCTGACAGGGCATGACAGTGCAGTGATTCCTCTATCTTGTATTGTTGCTGAGGCCCTTTCAAGTTTAATGAGAATTCAATCTCCCACCCAGCTCTATTGTAGGGACCAAGGTCAAGATGCCTCAGCTAACTCTTGCCAGCTTCTGTTAAACTGCGTACTTACACAGATCTCCCTCCAGTTAACTGCTTACCTTAGCCTCTGTTAACCTGCTCGATTACGTAAAATCCCCTCCTCCAGCTGCCTGGAGATTTTTTTTTGCCTTTAAAAGCCCTTTGCTCTAAATGTTCAGGGCTACAATTGGGTTCTAAATACTTGAGTATAGTCCCAGACAACTACAACAAAGACTTTAAATTGGCTACAAACTGTATCTAAGTGGCCATCTCTGGAGGACTCCCAGTACGTCAGGTCACAGATAAAATGCGTGATAGTCTTTAGACTTCAACCTTGGTGACGGCCCCCCTGCCAAAACTGGGCATGCGCCTCACTTTTCCCCCTTTAATTAATTTAGTATTTTATGTGTTTCAGCTACATGTACGTCTATGTACTGTATGAGTATCTGGTGCCTTTGGAGGCCGGAAGAGAGCATCAGATCCCCTGGAACTGGAATTACAAATGACTGCAGGCCGTCACGTAGGTACTGGGAACTAACGCGGTCCTCTGAATGGTGGAGCCAATTCTCCAGCCCTTCAGCACGCATTTCTCAGTAAACACCTTAGCACATGCCTTTGTCTAGAGGAAGGGACGTTTTCAGTGAGGTGGAGAGGATGTGTGAACTCACAAGTCAGAGGTCAACAAACCTACTCCTCTGAGCTATGAAGGATAAAATTAGTACGTCGTATTTCAATGTGTCATCATTTTTATTTTTAAATGCTTTTTATATTTAAAATAATCAAAAGAAATATCCACTTGCATGTTTTAAGAGACAAACCAGAAGGGAGGCTGTGCGGCAGCCTGGGGCAGTGACCACATCCTGTGTTCTTCCTCTGGGGAAATGTCAGGGTCCACAGCCTCTCCAAGAGAGCGCTACACAGGGAACTGTTTCTCCTTGGAACAAATCCTATTGTCCTAAAAGGATATGGTGATACACAGGGAAGAGTGTTTCTCCTTGGAACAAATCCTATTGTCCTAAAAGGATACGGTGATACACAGGGAAGAGTGTTTCTCCTTGGGACAAATCCTGTTGTCCTAAAAGGATGCACGGGACTCTACTTTCGGCAAGGCGATTAATTAGGCTTAAGCTTATTTCAACGTCTTAAGACCTACAGCTGTGAGAAGTATAAACAGCTCTCTAGTCTGCAAGGATTCAACAGGCTTTTGCCACAGGGCATTCATCTTAAGAGTAGAAGAAAAAGGGCAGAGTAAATGTAGATTTGAAAATATGGCAATAGCATAATTAGGAACAAGGAAAGTCCCCATGGCTAGAAATAACAAATCTTAATTAAAAAATTACCCAAGGACATATTTAGCTAGGGCCTTAAGATTTAACTATAAATGGTTGTGGTTGAAAATATGCAAAATTTCCAAATGACTATTTTTTCACATGTTCTGACAGGTTGCAGAGAACTAAACATTCTTATTAGTTCATTATTCACTTACAAGAGGAACATTGTTTTTTTTTCTAATTACTACTATGTTTCCAAAGTATAGCTGATAATATACTTTAAAATGTAAACACTACTTTCCACGTAAATATAATTATATTCCACCAACATAAGGCTGGAGTTACGCAGGCTGACACATGGTTAGTGTTAGTATCATTCCACATGGAGTACTATTATTTGGTTTTATGAGGACCACTGTTCTAATTTTTTCTTCCCGTGTGCATGGTGGAGAAGTAAGCACTGCACGGGCTGGTTTCCAACCCTGGACGAGTCATATCAACGACAGTGTGTTCAAACACACCGTACAAAAGCACCCATTTATTTCACGTTTACCTATTCTGTTTCAAAAGCCATCTATTTCTATGGCTGGTGTCTACGCGTTCAGTAAGACGTAGCGGTTTTTCTCAGCGTTTCAACCCGTGTCCTCACTTGGGTTTTAAGTGTCCACAGAGCTGTGCACTCTTGAGTTGCGCACAGGAGGCATGAGGGCCGCTCTGCGCTCTCTCTTTCCAGAACACTAACCCGAAAGGACAGCACCACCCTGTACCTCTCAGTCAGGAGGTTATTGGTCTGCTGACCTCACCAGGCATGCAGCGCACACAGACAGCAAAGCAGAGGACAGGTTGCACCTGGCCGCCCTCTCTAAAGGAAATCTCTATCTTCCCTGACTTGCTCGCCTGCTTTTCAGGATGTCTACTGGTTCTCAGGAAAATTTTTGGAGCTTTTTTTCAACTGAAAAGTCAGATGACTTGCTAGCTTTCCTGAGGCTAAACTATGACTGAACGATCTTTGGTCATAAGTCCCAGTTTACTCTGTCCTAGCTGGAGAACCACAGCAAGCAGGCATCAGGGATGAGCTGGTACTTTAGGGAAGGAAAGGGCTACTTCAAGGACAGGTCACACACCCAAGGTTGAACTGAACACACACACACGCACGCACGCACGCACGCACGCACACACACATGCATTCGCAGAGTCTTGCCCCGTCCTTCTCTATGCCTTAGCTGGAAACGGGCATCTATCTGTCTGCATGCTTGCTCTTCAGTTCTTTTTCCGGTAAAACTTTCCTTCCCCATCAAATCCTGGTGAATATAAAACCACATAAACGATGATGGGTACGCCACCTCCACCTACCACATGTCCTGGGGGAGATTCAGTGTAATGCTGCCCTTGATGTCATCACGGAAACACATGTAGCCTAAAGTGGCCAAGCTGACATACAGCACCGTGACAACCGCCATGCCGATGTTCAGTGCCTGAGGAAACCGTTGAGACTCCTTCATCTGGTTCTCCAGGGGGAGCACCTAAAGGGAGAATGTAGCTGTTCTTAAAGGGATAGGATACAGGAACTTCAGAACAACCAAGATAATCAGACAGAAAAGTTGGTCCTTTGTAGTCTCGTGTAAAAAAATCTTTTATTCATCTCACACGTTAAGCGCTATTTTCCTTTGTGATGTGTAGACTATGTATGTATGCGTGTGTGTGTGGGGGGGTGTTCTTATGTGTGCATGTGTATGTTATGATGTGTAGACTATGTATGTATACGCGTGTGGGAGGGGGCGGTGTTCTTATGTGTGCATGTGTATGTTGTGATGTACTGACTATGTGTGTGTGGGGGGTGTTCTTATGTGTAGACTATGTATGTATGTATGTATGCCTGTGTATGGGGGGGGTGTTCTTATGTGTGCATGTGTATGTGTGTAGTTGATGTCAGCATCTTCCTCTGTCTCTTTCCACCTCAGTTTTTACCTCTTAGGCTTGTCTGGAGCTCTATAGACCAGCCTGGCCTCAAGCTCACAGAGGACTGCCTCTGCCTCCCACGTTCTGAGACTAACGGTATGCGCCACCACACCAAACTTCCACCTTGCTTTGTGAGACAGGATCGCACTGAACCTGGCGCTTCCCGGCTGAGTTAAACTGCCCACCTGTGAGCAACAGGGATCTACTGTCTCCATGTCCCAGAACGGGGATCACACCAGCACTCGGCACTGGACGTGGGTGATGGGCTCATCCTTGAACAGCAGGCACTAAACAACACACCCACCTCCTCAGCCCCGTACTCTGTAGATGTTTATATCATACTACTTTTTAATCCCTAAACAGACTTGAAGACCAGCTCTCAGCAGGCAACCTGCTGGTTATTTTTATACACCTTTTCTGGTCAGAATAATTTTACATTTGTTTTTAAATGCCGAGGAAAACACACATGGCTCCCATGTGCCCCTGGAGCAGCTCTCCCGTGATTAGCTCCTTCATATTACCAGTTGTCACAACTGAACCGACACTGGTTCTGTGGCGTTTCCATGAGTGACCGCCTGTGGCAGGAGCCCACCCAGGACACTGCGCCGCATTGGTTACTGCTCCCTCCCGTGGTCTCTCTGGCTTCTCGGTCTCTCTGCTCGCTGTCCCAGCTTGCTGAACTCCATTGTACGCCATCCCTCTAGCTTGGATTTGTCCTAATGCCTTCCTGGTGATTCCATGGGGGTCATGGCTTCTAGAGAAGGCCACCACACCCTGGTGCGCTTCAGTCTGCTGGGAAGACACCTTCCCACCCAGCCACCTCTTCACCCTCTGGGTCTCTAACTCTCCCACTCTCCAAGAACTAAGTGGGAATTGTCTCTATCTGCCTGAGGGAAGAGGCTCCTCTAGGGATTCTGCCTTGCAGTCATTAGTGCAATTATTTGTGCCCCTGTGGACTTCTGGAAGTCTGTTATGCACACTGAGTTCCAACCCAACATTGTGTCAAGCATCCTGTCACTCATCCTGCTCCAGCCTTTGTCACTGTGTGCCTCGCCGGGGCTGACTCCCTCATTGCCCCTCTGAGCACGCCTTTCCTGTCTGGCCAAACAGAGCCCCACACGCATGCTGAACTCCATGGCTCCAGTCATCGCCACACAGGTTTCTCCACAGAACATGGTTCCTTTCTTGGAGCATGGCATTTCGAATTCAGATCTCTGTGCTGAGTGTGCTATGTGAGGAGTGTTGCTTCTGACCCTCAGGAGACACAGCGAGTTAAAGCTCACATGCATGTGAACACACAACAACACATCTGTAACTGGTCTACAGTGCGTGGCAGGGGAGCAGGGAGGGCATTACAAAAAGACAAAGCGATCTTGGGAGGTAGGAATGGAATGTGTGGCGTGAGGGCAGGAGGAGGGACTGTGTGGTATGAGGGAGGGACCAGTCAAAAGAAGGGAGGACAGCACGAGTCAAGTAAGAACAAAGTGTACGCTGTGTGCAGAAATGCCACAGGAAACTGACTTGTGTCCTAACTAAGGCAAATTTTAAAATTAAAAATGGAAGAGAAAGAGGGATGGTGAGGCTGGTTTTGAATGAGAACCAACCCTTAACTAAATATCCAATGACTAAGACCCTACACTAATGACAGACAGACATTAAAATCCACATCTGCAGCTGCTCAGCAGTAAGAGAGGCTGTGAGAATCTCTATGACTAGAAGAGTTCAGACAGCAGACCCCCAAGGGGGATGGAAGAGACATCTAAAAGGCTTTTGTTCTGATATCAAACCATCAGACCTTGAAGGCAGTAGACATTAATATTCTGATTTCCCTAAATCTAAAAATTCTAGGCCACAAATACTGAAAGTGTTTTGAGTAGAAATACTTAAGATGTTAGAGGCCTCAGGATGTATCTTGGCACTGGCATCTCAATGATGTTGTACCTCAAAGCAAATATGATATACACAACCTAAAGGGAGAATTTTCCTTGATTTTTCACATGATAGCAACTTTATCATTATTTCCGTAGCCCTCAAACATCCTAGGCTGTATGTAACATGTGATGTCTGGGCTGGCAGGTTGACATGCAAGCCTGATGGCCTGAGTCTAGTCACCAGAACCCAGAAAAGGCTGGATACGCTGGCTCACATCACAACCGCATCGCTCCTGTGGTAGACGGGAGGTGGGACAGAGAATTGCCTAGGAGCTCTCTGGCCTCCTACCCTGGAGAGCCTCAGAGCAGCAGAGACAGGAAAGATCTTGCCCCATAGCGTGAAAGGAGAGAAGCAACTCCTGAGAGCTGTGCTCTGGGCTCCTGACCCGCACCAGTACATGCTCCTTTTTAAAATGTGTGACTGGGGAAGGGGACTAGAGAGATTGCTTGGTAACCGCTGTCTGCTCTTCCAGAGGACCTAGTTTTAATTCCCAGAACCCACGTGGTGGCTCACAACCATCTACAGCTCCAGTTCCAAGGCCTCTCTTCTGGCCTCCACAGGATCCAGACATGCACGGTACACAGACATGCTTGCAGGCAAAACAACTCAGATGCAAAACAGAACTTTAAAAATAAAAATAAAGCTCCATTTGGGCATGCTTGAATACATGAGACACAAGCAAAACAAAATTGTCTGTGAGCTCTATTTTCTAAAGTTATGTGACATAAGAGTTTTCAGTATAATACTCTACTTAAGGCTTATATTGATAGGCTTGAAATATTTCCCAATAAAATGCCAAAAACCTAGTCTAACACTATCATTTAACCTACCAAGGAAAAGACTTAGAGAACCTACAAAACATGTCTAAGATTAAGTTACTGACAAGTAGAAAAAACATGCATTAGCTCAAGTCTAGCCCACTGTTAGGTCTCAGATCTAGAACAAGTTTCATTCAGTTGACCTGTGGCTCCTCCCAGCACTCCTCATCCTACCCCTACCCGAAACCGTCCCCTCCCAGGGGCTGGGCTCTCCCAGCCTGACTACGTAACTCATCATTTTGGCTACACTGGTCTCCTGACCTCTTGGCTTGGGCCTGGGCCTGGCTCTTCCCTTGCTCCCCCTCCTCTTCCCTCCTATGGTCCAGTTCAGTCAGCCAGTCATGTTCAGCCTGGACTCTTCCCTCTCCCTGCTTTCTCCCTTGCATCTATAATAAAAATCTCCATACTTTAGGGCTATTCGTGACCACCCCCAAAAAACATGTATTTTTTGTATACAGTTTGACTACAAAAATTCTTGTGTTAAGAGTCTGGAAAACAAGAAACGGCTAATTCTTACCACTCCTATGCCTTCAAAAGCAAACACAGCAGTACCAAAAAAGAGTGGGTATTTCTTCCAACCAGCCACAATTGGGAGGTTGTGGGGATCTGGCATGTTCTGCAGAAAAGAAAACAGAAACCAAGTTACAGCTTTACCTAATGCAAACTACTTAAAATTAAAGAGCAAAATCACATCCTCCCAGGCTTCACAGAGCAGCTGGGGTTATAAAACTCGCCAAACACTTTACACACCCTGTGTTAGGGGAGACTGCGCCGTTAGGACATAGTCACTGAAACAAACACTTCTCTCATGTCCACACGCTCCCCAGGTCCCTGTGTCCACGGCCAGCCCCAGGCAGCACGTGGGGTACATCTCCTGCCACAGGAGAAGCACACAGGCATACTCAGAGTAGAATTCAAGGCCAAGAAGAGAGGCTATGCAGACCAAAGTGAGAAGGCATGGGTGACCCGGGCAACGTGGAGGTTGGCAAGAGTTGGGGCACATGTAGAATTAAATGGTGGGAAGATGTGTGGCAAGGATCAGAGTGAGCAGGGCCCACAGAGTCTAGTTCGTCTGCTACTGCTAAGCTGTCGCCTCCTTGTGCTCTTCCCTCTCCTGAAGGATCGCCGTTTTCTGCTCAACCAACTCTAACATGGCCATGTCCAGCTAAGGGACTGTGAATGTCAGAAAGGCTCAGGCAACCTTCCTTCCTACCGTAAGTTTGAGGATCCAGGGGGAGGAAAAGTGAAACAGTTTGTGTGAACTGTTCATGGAAACCTTACGATTATCTTGGAAGTAATATATTTGATACATTAGATCACGAGGAAATAAAACAGGATCCTCGACTTTCTTGGGGTCACTGGCCTCTGTCTGCCTAATGTAATTGGGTTAAGAGTCCTGAGACTTCAAACAGTGACCTCAGTTCCAATTACTGCATTGTCTTCAAACAAAGGAGTCATGAATTTGTGCCACGGAAGTACAAAATTACTTAACAGAATTACATACATACCCATCCTTGTAACTAGCTCAAGCTCAAAGGCATAAACACAGTAACTCAATGAGTTGAGTCATGGGAGGCTCTGTAGTAGGAGCACAGTCCTAAGTCTCACAAGAGCTCTAACAGGGAAGGTGAGATGTTCGGGAACACTGGTTCAAACCCACAGGCATCCTCATGAACATTCAAACCAGACACAACCTCTTAGCATCTTTGACATGCATGAACATTATCACCTGAGGTGAAATCAACATTAGCTGCCTGTCTGTGTGCCATGTGTGTGGGACAGGCCTCTCCATGCCACAACTGTCACCTCCAAAGAAAGCTTTACACACCCTGGAACACAGGATGGTTACTCAAAAGCACACTTACCCTAACAACATACTGGTAAATTATCACAAGACTGGCAGCCATGGAAATGTTGGCAAGGAACGAAAGTATGAAGAGATTCTTCAGCTCGCGAATGAAGACCAAGAGAATTATGAACGGGAGGAAGCAGAGCATGTAGACCCTGAGGTCCACACTCCTCCTCTCACACGCACGGGATGGGTCAGTGCTGTTTGAAACAAACACTGAGCTCTCCAGCAGCCCTTCGTGGACCTGCAGAACAGGCACCAGGGGAGGAAGAAGGAAATTATCCGTCAGCTTACCATCATAGGAGAGACCAAATATAGCTCACACCTCTAGGATCAAGTCCCTTGACAGTAGTTACCAGCAGGGTGATCTCATGGTGTCTTGTCTATGACAGTGGTGACCAATGAGTGGCCCCACAGTGTCTAACTGTGACAATGGAGACCAGTGAGGTCATCTGACCAGTGAGGTCATCTGACCAGCGAGGTCATCCCACAGTGTCTAACTGTGACATTGGAGACCAGTGAGGTCACCTGACCAGTGAGGTCGCCCCACAGTGTCCAACAGTGATGGTAGTGACCAGTAAGGTTTAGCCAGTGTGTGCAGTAATAGGCACTGCCTACAAGTGGAAGGAAAACTTCTGCCAAGAGGGACGATTCCCAATCCCACACTTTGGTGACTGCTGCCTGCACGCCCATGCGGGCGTTCCTTGCTGCCTCCGGCTGTTTTCTAGAGTCTGACTGCATGTATTTCTCTGTCTCCCTTTATGCTTCTGAAAGACTTGCATCATTAGCTCTAAAAGACAATTTCTCTTTCCAACCAGCCAGGGAGTCACGTGTTCTGCCTCATCGTCTCATGTCTTAGATATTCCATTCAACTCTGGGACAGACAATGTTTCAGTCGGAAGGCAGTCATTAAAAAGCCTCTAGATGTTTCCTCCCCCCCCCTCTCTCTTTCTCTCTCTCTCTCTCTCTCTCTCTCACACACACATACACACACACAAAGCCTAAAAAACCTATTCATTGATAAAAATCACTACCAAGCCAGGTGTTGCTGGCTCACGCCTTTAATCCCAGCACTCGGGAGGCAGAGGCAGGTGGATCTCTGTGAGTTCCAGACCAGTCTGGTCTACAGAACTAGTTCCAGGACAATCTCCAAAGCAATACAGAGAAACCCTGTCTCGAAAAACAAAAACAAAAGAATCATTACCAAATGTAGCTAACCAGGTACATAACTGGAAACCCAACACTTAGAAAATGAGACACAAGATTCTGAGTTCAAGACCATATTCAACTAACAAACAACATACTAGAGTAGCAGCTGTGATCAAGGACTCCATTTCAGGAAAATGCCTAGTAAGCTTGGAGGATGTCAATCATGCTCATAGGACTTCACAGTAGTTACTCCAGTGTAATTGTAAAATTAATGCTGTGTTACAGTTTATAAACACAAAACCACAGGGCATTAGTCCTAGATTCACAAAGGGATTCACTGGCAACTCTCTTGGGAGAACTAGAGGTGACCCAGCAGTGACCAGTCATGGTGGCATACATCTGTGTTCCCAGCACCTGGGAGGTAAATGCAGGAGGGTCAGAAGGTTCAGCCTGAGCTACACAAAAAGTTCAACATGAGTCTGAACTAGATGAGACCATCTCAAAAAGCAATGGTGGGGATGGGATAACAGTCCCATCGCTGACATCCTGCACGATCCCAGACAGACTCTGCTGCAGCCACGGTCCATGTGAATGGCTGCAAGGTGGCATGTCAAGTTTCAGAACCTTTTTAAACAACAGCAGCTTACTGGAGCTAAGGAACGAACACTCGCCTGTTTACCTCAGGCTTTCAGCTGCTGCCCGCCATCTCCTATCTCCTTTAAAGACAATCAACAACAGGAAGCCTGTGACCACAGATCTGTGTGCATACTTTTGAGATCTGAACATGAAGTAATCAAGAAACAGCAAGCCACACCACATTCTGATCCCCCCCCCAAAAAAAACCAAGCATGGCTGATATAAAATCAGGCATAATCATATCAATAACAATAGCATCAGAAACCCAACTTGTAAAAGAGACACCTAGGAAGAATCTATAAAAATGACCACGAATGAAACACATCTTCATCTTCAGCCATGGCTTCCACAGAAGATGAGCCACGCAATAAGCAAGGCGTCCAAAGAAAACGTCTCGCTGACTGCAGAAACATACTCACTTGTTTCACATTTTCGGCTAAGAAGACGATGTAGACGCTGCAGAATCCCAGCTGCGTTATCACCAGAAAGAAGTCAACCACGCTCCTGAAAACACAGTCCCACAAAGAAGAGTCACAGGGAGCTCTGAACAGGCAGCAGACCTCAGTTCTCGTTTAACCACTTTAAAGCATCCTATAATAGCATTTATTCTTTTCCTTCCTAAAACAACGGCCACCTACATGTTTGTTTCCCATGAAGAGACATTTAGTGGACTTCTGATAGTAAAAAGCACGCTTCACTCAGTTAAAAGACAAAGACATTACATCACTTCCTACTTCTGCAATTCAGCTGTATAAGAACAGCTGCTTGTCAAACCATTTCACAGAACTATGGTCAGGCTTAGGGTGTGGCTCATACCTTTAGCCTGGGTGACCAGGGACCTTCGTTCAAGTCTCAGCACTACAGAAAAATTCATGCTCTAGACTACACCCTTCCCCCCTACTTCTCAAGATCTTCCTCACGCCAAGCCAGTATGTATACTTCCTTCCTAACAGCCTCCTGCCATCTGCACGCAAGGGAAGTACACTTGCTACTTCCTAAATCAATAAGAATGCAGAATCAAGGGTCAGACCTCTAGAGACATCTTTAGTAAATTTTCTCTGTTCTTATTTCATAATGAGATGAAGGAGGGAGCAACTATTGCCAGACATCTATGTGACATCATTTGGATATGGCAGACCCCAGGTACAACATCCTGCACACTGGACTTGGAGCAAGGAGTGAGCACACCGTCAGACTGACTGATGACTGATGACTCCTGTCAACTGCCATCAAGATCATAAAACAGCAAACAGACAGAGACTAAACCTGAGTCTGTCCAACTGTGAAACCCACCTGCCATGTTTCCCCAACTCTGTCATACTCTGAGTTATGTCTTGTTCAATGAAAATAGCTAACATCAGTGTAACGTCAGCACACAGGCATATGAAGCAAGGCCAGTGCTTACCTCCCCCATGCTGCCTGCCGCTGAAGGCAGCTCCACGGGCTGGCCTCCATGGCATAACTCACAGTGTCACTGTACCCCAACGTTGACTTCTTAAACCTGCAATTTATAGGCATACACACAGAGAAAAGTATTAAGTTGGTCTATAAGGCAATTCCATGAAAATAGCACCAAATAAAACTAGAGATTTGTGAACTCGGGATATACATTAGCAGATTTGTCTTCAAAGTGCAAATAAGTATCTGTGTACCCACGAGCATGAGTCAAGAAATTTCAAAATATCAGCCGCATACAAAGTTTTCTACCTGTAGAACTCGGACAACCTTATATTGGTGCTGCACTGATTTAAATATTCCAAGCAGCTCGAAACAGCACCTGTACTGTTCAGCTGAAGATTATTCCATCCTGTGTCAGCACTGTGTAACAGTGCGCAGGCGCTGCACTGGAGTTCCCTGTGAACTGTGGTTCCCTGTGTTTGATCTTCAGAACGCCTCCATGAAGTCAGCATCACTCCATTCTCTATTCTACTTTCTTCTCTAGAGCACGCATCATTATTCAAACAACAGCATGATATAAACACTTCCGAGAACATTTAATGAAAAGAGCAGGGAGGCAACCACTGATTTGCTATGACATGAAGCATCTTTAAAGGCGGGTCTATCCTCCTGTAGAGCACTTCATGGTATAGAACTAAAAGGGGAGTTTATTTTTCTAAGTCTGTCAGCCCACTTATCAGCAACCGCCACTAAAGGCGCCCTGCTCCAAACTGAAGCACCAATGAACTGAAGACCTGCAGCTGTCACTTCAAGTGCACAGCTGCTGGGCTTCCTCTTCTACTAAATGGAAGAGCCCGCCCCATCTCCCCAGTAGAACACCTTTTGAGTGTTTGCAATCACAGGCCAGCGAGACGACTCAGCGGCTAAGGTAACTGCCACAAAAGCCGGACAGCCTGAGATCGACCTGGGAAGCCCCGTGAAGTGGAGGAAAGTACTGACTCCACCCTCTCTCACCCTCACATGGGCACTGTGTCATACATGCGCCTACATGCATACATCATGTACACATAGACAATATTCAACATTAAAAAAGAAAGTACAGTCATCACTCCATACCCACAAGTCCCTCGTGATTGGGTTAACCTACTGCATATGGAAAATTCATGAAAAAACATGTCTGTGTTGATTACATGCACAACTTCATTTTTCTTGTCATTATTTGGTGAGCAGTATAGAATAATAGCGTGCATAGCATTTGTATTGTATTGAAGATGCCTATAACATGTGGAAGGCAGTGCAGAGGTTGCATCATTTTATGTGAGGAACTTGAGCACTTGTAGGTATCCATGGGGACCCTGGAACCAATCTTCTGAGAACGCTAAGGGATGACTGCAAACAGATACTGACCACATTAATCACAGAAAACACTAGCCTGTCCCATGGTCATTATCTTGGGGGTGTCAGGCACTGGAAGGAATACAACCTCTAGATGCAAATCACAATAGATACATGAGACAATGATGCTCTAAGCAAGTATGAAACTTTACAATGAATCAAATAGACTTAATGAGTCCACATTTACCTCTGACATAGAAAGTGACTGCAACGTACCAATATGTGCATACAGTGGACGGAAATAATTCCTATAAACACAAGGCTGATTGGTCCGAGCTGTGGAGAAGGAAATAAGGAAGAGTTAAATATTCATTTTAAAAAACTGAGTGAGCTGATAAGCAATAAGTCAATGGGCAATTCATTTGCAGTGAAAAAATTGTTGAATCCACTGATTAAATTATCACAGGGATGGAGAAAATTAATACTTATGACATAGAAATTATTTCAGGTGATATTTTGACATTGGTGCTATCTTGCCGACTTGCCAACTGAAACCTGTGTTACAGAGTACAGACACTCGGCACAGAACATGGAAAGCAATGTCATATCCTTAGCAAAGGAGGACAAGTCTATGGCATCAGTGTCCTACTAGCACACACTTACATACGCTTGTCTAGACACGAAATATCCTTAACCTTCTATACATTGCTCTTAGAGAATCCACATGTGTGTCGGGGACAGTAATTAGGAGATAATTGTTTCTAAAAGTGGTTCATGAAAAGTTTCAACTTTGTACTCGCCAGACTCAAAAGTGATATCTGGATTATGATAGGTAGCAGAACCAGGCCAAGTTCATCTGAGCAATAAAAAATCCATTTACTTTATACACGGGACTGTTAAACCCAGAAAAAATGGACAGCTACAATCTCCATGGAAATCAACCCATTTAAAAACATTTATGTCTAATTTACTTCATCCATGAACCTGCCTCAACAAGGTTCTCAAATGTAGCAACTAGAGTAACTGTCTCTAACACTGTTTTCATATTTGTGTTTAAAAGACGTTGTTACTCATTTCAACTATTTTTCTTGGATATGAATACTGCATACTCACTTATTCTGACTCTAAGATACTAAGGAAGTTACACCATAAAAATAATCCATTCCCTTAATCCATTAGTTGCTGTGGGTACACTGCTTAAGACTCTGACAACCCCCCAAAATGGGTCACACCCATGTCAGAAATCAAGAACTGGGTAGGTTTGAGAGTCTGTTAAACACAAGCAGTCATGCGGAAATGAAGACACTAACTCTCACTCTGGGTTAGACGCCATGATTACAGCTCACATAACTGTATCAGAACAGCAGCCAAAGGCCATCTACTTGTCGCCTGACCACGTTATAGTGGCGGAGGCGAGACGGTGCCTTTAAGTCATTTTCACTGACAACGAGCCATCTGGAGTGGAGGGCATGGACAGACTTACCACAATGCCAGCGTTCTTTATTGCCAAGGGGAGCCCCAAGAGGCCAGTGCCGATGTTCCCCTTCAGAAGATGCATCAGGGTCTGCACAAATCTGCAAAGTGACAACAGGAAGGTGACGCATTCAACCTAGGGACCCGGGCGACAAAGCAAATAATGGTTCTCATGCCACACCACCCAGCAAAAAGTCACCACAGCATCGAGTGCCATCTTCACTCAAAAAACGCTAGTACAGAGAATTACCGTAGAAATTAAAAGAAATAATTTAAAACTGGTTCTCCTAAGACACTTCGCTGCCATGGTGTCAAGAACAGTGAGGATCTGGCTGGTAAACCAGGACTTGCTGGCACTGTGTAGGTAATTATGGTTCTAAATATTTGATCTATGACTGTCACCCTAAAGGGAAGTTATAAAAGAAAAATTATTTATACAAGTTTTAACACTCTCCTCAGGTAAAATAACCACTTGTATTATCATGAGTTCCCTCATGAGCATCCATGACTTTCTAGGAGGTGACTGGAGGATTTTTCCTTGACCAAGAAGAAACAAACTGAAATTAAGAGAAGCACAAACTTCAAACTTGTGAAACAAAAAATAACTGCCTAGAGTTATTCAGTGGTTTTTTATTACATTTTTTTAGAAAAGAGCTTGCTCCACATGTCAACCCCAGTTCCCTCCCCCTCCCCTCCTCCTGCACCCCTCACCATCCCCCCAGCCTCCCACCCTATCCCCACTTCCTTCCGCAATTTTTTTTCTTTTTTTTAGTTTATACCTGATCAAATTTCAGGTGACTGTGCTTAATCACTAAATCACTTCTAAAGCAAGAATTCAATGATGACGAGACCCCAAAACAGGGTTTCTAACACACTCTGCCAGGAGCTTGTCTCCTAATCCTGCACAAGCCACTCCCCACTCCCACAGCTCTTCCCCTTGGAGAAGCCATTCTTCCAACAGGCGACCCACGACACTCACGAAATCCCGTGCTGCCCGTCGAGCTGGTAGTGCTTCTGCACAGGCAGGAGCATCTGTTCCTGCTCCTCGTCCGAAGTCCCATCGAAGTCCTGCTCATTTATTAACGGCCTCATCACGTCCATATCTACAAAAAGGGAACAGTCCTGTAACCCTGCTTGTGAAGCTGAGGTAAGGCTGTAACTTTTTAAATGATAGAAGTATCAGGCTACAGAGACGAGAAGACTCACTGGATAAAACAATTGACCCACACGTTTAAGGGCCCGAGTTCTCATCCCTGGCACTCACAAAGAAGCCAGGCAGCCATGGTATCTGCCTGTAACATCTGCACCAGGGAGAGATATACAACAAGCTGAATGGCTAACCAGACTAGCAAGATACCATAAACTCTGAATTCAGTGAAAGATGCTATCCCAATAAAGTAGAGAACAACCTATGAAGATACTCAAGATCAACTTCAGACCTACACAACACACACACACACACACACACACACACACACACTCCTACACTCTGCACGCTACACACACACACACAGGTAAATGTGCACCTACACAGTGCAAGCATGAATACACTGAGCACACACATGCATGTGCACACCCATATATGCAAGCATTCCAACACTGCACATTACACACTATACACACTTTCAAGCATGCCTACACTCTGCACACACACACACACACACACACACACACACACACACACCACACACACTATGTATTCACTGAAGCTGAGTAGTTCACCTTAGCCCCTGAGTCTTGATATTGTCACAAAGGAAAAACCAGACTTACTTTCTGGATGTTCTATTGGATTATACACAGTGTAGAAGAAAAAGCTTAACTAATATAGAAAGCACTTCTTGTTTTATCCACATGAAGTTTACAGGATGAGAAATGTGAAGAAATAATCAAATGCATTTTCCATATCTGGTCAGAGTCAAATCACACTTAATAGGTAAACAATCATGTTTTTAAGCACTTCAAATTACAACCACTGCAATGTTAAAAATTATAGTATCAAAATGTTCTCTTCTTTCTAACAACTTCATGTGACTGTTCCTCACTGTCCTCTTACTGCAATGTCAATCACTAAATCTGAGTTAATTAAGAATGAAATACAAAACATAGTGTGGTGGCATGAGCCTTTAATCCCAGCACTGGGGAGACAGAGGCAGGGGGATCTCTGTGAGTTCAAAGCCAGTCTGGTCTACAAAGTGAGTTCCAAGGCAGCCTAGAACTGTTACACAGAGAAACCCTGTCTTGAAAAACAAAACAAAACTCTGTCTCTAAAAACAACAAACAAAAAAATCTGAAGTACAGAGATTTTAAAGGTAAACACTTTAATCTACCAACTCGCAGTAATCTGACATACCGGGGGATGGAGTACTTATAGCTAGAAATGATCAACCTTGCTCTTCAAACTCTTCATTTTAGAATAATTTCAGGTTTAAATTTGCAGTAACAACCTAAGTACTAACACTTGTGCATTCTTTGCAGACGTTTTCTGATTTCCACCATTGCTGCAGTTGCTTTTTCCCTCTCAAATGCAGACTCGCTTCCATGACGTGACCTCAGTTTACCCTATGGCAACATCCTTCCGAAGAACTAGAAAGGTCTTGAAATTCCATACTAGAGTTCTCACTTTCCCAGCTGCACCAATTAATTAACTCCTCTGAGCTGTTTCGGGACAGGAGGTCCAGGGCACGGCCGCAGACTCGATTGTCCTGGACTGCTCTGCTGGTCACCTCGGTCACTGTCTTTTAGGGTGTCCTTAGTCCTCCTCTTCTCCTTAACTTTTTACTATCTAGGGGTTTTAAGATTCTGTGCATCTGCATGTGGTCTGGGAAAGAGTGAGTGCAGTGCCTGTGTGGCCAGCAGGAGACACTGGATCCCCCTGGATCAGGGAGGCCGCGGACTTTTAGAAGCAGCGCCTAGACAGGCAGGGCAGGTTCTTGGGGTTCACAGCTCGGCCTGCTGTCTGCCCCGTCTCTACTTCCTGGAACACTAAGAAACAGGCAAGCAGCTCACACATGCTCCCACCAGGGCAGAGCCACCTGAAGCCATGCTCCGACTGCCATCACGTTACCCCTGCCACGATGATTTGCAGCCCTTCTCCTGCTGACATCTCATGCTCTGTTTTCAACTGCGCTGTTTTTTGTAAATGCTCTTCCCATTATGTCTTCATCTGCACCTCAGATTTAGACCTACGGTCAACACGGCAGTCACTACAGTTCTCTGACAGTTTCCTCAGTCATCCAGAAGTTTATACCAAGTAGAATGTCTCAGAAAGGCCCTGCAGGGCTTGCTAACAAACTGACATGCTCCACCCCAAAGTTTCCGAGTAAGGCCGTGAGACCCGGATGTGCCGGAGACTCTCTCGCTGTGAGGACAGGGTCCTAGCAGATTATTCAGGAAAACTCACCAATACATTATTCTCTGAGGATCCATTCTTCACTCAAAATTTAGCCTCTCCTCTGCTCCCCGCCACCCTCCTTCATGCCCTCCCCAGCCCTTCCTTAAGACCTCAGTCTCCCCTCTCACGGTGCCCTTTCTAAAGTTCCATGGCCTCTACTACTGTCCCCAAAATACTTGTACATATATAAAAAATAAGATTTAAGATCCACATATGGGCAAAAGCGTACACTCTTTTGGAGTCTCTTTCACATAACATAATTTCCGATATCACATTTTTCTACAATTTGTCATGACTGTATCTTTCTTAAAGCTGCATAAAATTCTGTTGTGTGGGTTTGTTTGTTTGTTTGTTTGTAATTCGTTCATCTACTGATGGACATCAGTGCTGGCTCCATTTCCTAGCTGTTGTGGATACCGTATCTCCACCAAAGGATGATTAAATCTTTCGGGACTCGACACAGGAATAGCGTAGCCACGTCATGTGGCCGTTTTTACTTTAGTTTTTTGTCTGTTTTAGGAAAATCTGTGGCATTTCCGCAACAGCTGCACCAACTCACATTTCCACCAGCAGCAAGGTGCTCATTTCCCGTGTCCTCATTGGCTCTTGCCGGCGTCTGCTGTCTCTGCGCTTGCCTAATGCTTCCCATGACCCAGCTATCTAAAGGGCTGGGTATAAAAGCCTCAGCTCCTGCTTGGCTTGCCTTTCTATAGCTTCTGGTATTACAATGCCAGACTCATGTTTTCGATCATTAAGTGATTTGTTTGTCCTAGAGAGTCTAATGATCTGCCTGTATCTTTTTTCTTTTTTAACGCCTTATTGATTCTTTGTGGATTTCACATCATGCACCCCAAAACCACCCATCTCCCCATCCTTTCATAGCCACCCTCTGCCTTTGCAACCTCCTCTGCAAAAAAAATTAAAACTAAAAATATTTTTTCTTAAATCTCATCGTGGAGGCTGTAGTGTGCCACCATTAGTCACAAGGTATACCCTGCAGACTACACATCTTTACTTGCAAATCTTCACTGCAATGAGTCACCGGTCTAGTTTGAGGCTTTCGGCTCCTGCTACACTGCGCTTCTTGGTGAGCTAGGATGCAGTTCTGGGATGCAGTGACTCATACAGGGAAGAGGCACAGGCACTAGCACTTGTGTTTGTCACTGGCTCTATGGATGGGCAGTGTCATTCATCTTTTCCCAAGGAGCAAAACCAGCAACCGCCTTCACGTCTCCCGTCCCAACTCACTTCATGCACAGACCGCCTACCTGCCCGTCATTTCCCTCCCATCACCCCACCATCTACTTACTACTTCCCAGCACACCCAGCCAGGCACGGGGCCTTGGTGTTAGCTTTGTGCTGCCCAGTGCACCTGGGCCCAGCTAAGTCTGGACTGGGTCGCGGTGTTTCAGTGTCCAGGATCTGTGTTTCTCTAAACTTAAATTTAAATTTATTTATTTGTTTGTTTTACAACTCAACTACAGTTTCCTCTCCCCCCTTTCCTTCCATTCCCCTCCCTCCCATTCTGCACCTCTCTCCTCCTCTGCTTCTGTCAGAAAGGGGCAGGCATCCCATGGGTATCAACAAAGCATGGACTATCAAGTTGCAGTAAGACTAAACACCTTCCCTCGTATTAAGGCTGGGCAAGGCAAGTATGAAGAATAGGTTTCCACGAGCCACACAAACGATTAGGGACAGCCCCTGATTCCATTGTAAGGAGTCCCACAAGTAGACCAAGCTACACAACTGAGATATGTATGTATGTATGTATGTATGTATGTATGTATGTATGTATGTATGTGCCTAGGTCGGTCACATGCAGGCTCTCTGGTTGTTGGTTCAGACTTTGTGAATTCCTGTGAGCTAAGTTAGTTGTTTCTATGGGTTTTCATACAAGATGTTCAATCATACCACAAGGAAGCTTGCTCATGTATGTTCATAGCAGCTTTATTCATAATAGCCAGATCCTGGAAACAACCTAAATGCCCCTCAACTGAAGAATGGATAAAGAAAATGTGATACATTTACACAATGGAGTATGATTATGGTGTTAAAAACAAAGACATCATGAAATTTGAAGGGAAATGGATGGAACTAAAAAACACCATCCTGAGTGAGGTAACCCAGACCAGAAAGACAAACATGGTATGCACTCACTCACAAGTGGATATTGGCTGTAAAGTAAAGGATGACCATGCTACAATCCACAGACCCAGAGAGGCTGGGTAACAAGAAGGGTTCAATGAGGGAAGCTTGGAGCTCCCTGGGAAGGGGAAATAGAAGAAATCTCCTGGGTGGGATGGGGTCAGGTGGGGATGGGAACCTGAGGGACCAGGTCAGGGGGTGAATGGAGGGGAAGAGTGTACTGAAAGAAAAGGGGGACATTTCTGGGGTCAGGTAGAAACCTGACACAGGGGAAACTCCCACAAATCTACAAGGATGATCCCAGCTAGACTCCTAGCAATAGTGGGTACAGCAGCCTGAACTGGCCCTCTCCTGTGATCAGATCGGTGACCACCTCAACTGTCATCAGAGAGCCTTCATCCAGTAACTTATGGAAGCAGATGCAGAGACCCACAGCCAAACATTAACCTGAGCTCAGGAATCCTGCTGAACAAGGGGAGGAAGGCCTGCAGGAGCCAGAGGGGTCAAGGATATCACAGGATCTGTTTCTTGATGATCCTAGTCATGTCGCCCGCCAGGCACAAGCAG